AAGCTCATCACAGGAAATTTGACTGTGAGTTGTACTAATAAATAGTCCTAGTAAAACCTGATTTTATTGATTTTAGTATATTTTCCCTGAAAGGAAATATTTTTACTATCTTATCAAGTACATGTTCTCCTCCAAGTATTTTTGGATGATTCAAGAGTAGACTTAGTAAGGCATATATCACTGAAAAAAAAAAAGAGTTCTTTGCAAGTTTTGTGTAGGTGACTGAATTTATTTGTTCAACAGACTGACTGTTCAGGTGCTGTTCTGGATGCTGGGCGTACACTGATGAGAAAAGGGCAATGTTTGCATATAAATAGATAAAACTGAGTTGGTATTATTTATGAGTATACAGAAGCAGCAATAAATTTGTACTTTCTAGTCCGATCATCCTGAGTGTTTGTTCTTACAGTTCACAATGCATGTTGCAGGCCCATTTCAGTCTGAATATCCCTGAAACTTGTGCTTTCCTTTCTTCGTCTAATATAATACATCTAGTCTTGATAATCTTTTTTTCTATTTTAAAGGTTAATTTTATCTTTGAACTTTTTGTGGAGTAACTGTGTATTACAGAAATAATTAGGCAGTTTTATCTGCCTGTTTGCCATCTGCACAGTTATACATCTAGCTTCACTGAGAGCCCTAGTGAAGAGATAGTGTGATTTTCTTAAGAGAATTTATAATTTAATTTGGTTCTATTACATTTATAGAATTTAAAATTCCAAAATATGCAGGTATATAGTGATGCTCTATATCAGGAGTTGGCAAACTTTTTCTGTGAAGGGTCAGATAGTAAATATTTTAGGCCTGGTGAGCCAGGTGGCTCTGTTGTAACTACTCTGTACTGTTGCTGTCACAGGAAAGCAGCTCTAACAATATACAAATGAATGAACATGGTTGTCTGCCAATAAAACTTTATGTATAAAAACAGGCAGTGGCTGGGTTTAGCCTGTGACCTATGGTTTGCACAGTGATGCATCCCGAGTGCCCAAACAGTGCCTGACACAGAACAGGTGCTCAGTTACCTCTTCCTGAGATAGGGAGCCATGGGAGAATACCAGATGTGGGCATGAAGATTATTTGGCTTCAGACCTGTTGGGTTTGGGGTATTTTTGCAGCCTCCACTGAGGAGGCCAGTTGGATAAAAGGTCTGGAGCACAGAGAAAAAAAATATGCTTGCTACTTAAAGATGTATGTCACATGCGTAGGGCTGGTGATGCTGTTTGTGTGGGTGGCATTGCCTGGAGAAAGTGAATGTGAGAGAAGAGCTTACAGAAAGAGAAGTCAAAGGGGAAAAGAGCTTGAGGAATATGGGAATGGCTGAGAATTTGATCTGTCAAATGATGCTCAGATGTCATTACAAGGATGACTGAAAAATGTCATTTGGATAGAGCAACATGGAGGTCATTGGTGACCATAGCAAAAGCTCCTTTGGTGCAGTGACAGAAGTGGGTGTTAAATTGTAGACGTCACAAGGGTAGAGAGTTAAGTTAGGAAATTTGGACAATAAATATTAAGAACTATCAGATCATTTTGGATGATAAAGGAGAGAGGATGGTGGCTGAAATGAGATATAAGCTTGAGGATGGATTGAAGAAATGACTGGGAGAGACCTTAACATAAAAAGCTGATGGCAGTGGTATAGGAGAAAGAGAGGGAGAGGGAGAAAGGTAAATCGAGACTGGATATATGATTCAATGGAGAATTAAGATGTCAAATTCCTGAGAAGGGAGAAGGAAATGAAGTTGGTGACACACATGGAAGGGTTAGTCTTGAACAGGAGGAGTCTTAAGTAGCATCTCTATGGGAGAGAAGGGTTCATAAACGAGCTGGTGTGTAGGCTGAAATTTAGGTAGGTGAGGCAGTTCTCACTTGATGGTTATTATTCTCTCTGTAGGGTGGGAATTGGGATGGACCCTCTTCTGAAAGTGTGGGCAGAAGAGTGGGAAAAGGTGATTGGGGGAGAATGAAGACTTTAAATCAGCCATCAAGTAGTCCTGTTGGGTGACTTTTTACTGCCACATTCAACTGTCCAAGTGTAGATACAGAGAGACAGGACTGTTGGATTCATTTGATGTTGGCTTTTACAAGATGGTTGAGAAGAAAATCTGGATGGGTAAGGGGGTTCAGGGCATTAGCAAGAGTACCATTGAAATAATGGCCCAAAGACTCTAAAGATGATATGTAAGGAAGTGAAAAAAGGAGAGAGTTGATATCCTGGGAGAAGAGAGAGGGATTAGAGATTCAGGAGGGTCCTGAAGAGATAGAGAATGACCATCGTGAGAAAAGTTGAATCAGCAAGCTGGGAGAGAAATGTAACAGAGTTAAGAATGTAGAAGAGAGGGAAGAGAAGGCCTCTCAATGGAGCCAGTGGCTCCAGGTAACCCAGTTAGGTAGATTGTTTCCATACATGTTATGTAAGCCAACACGATGCCTTTTAAAGTAGATGTAGTTTTTGAGATATAAGAAGTGAATTTTCACCAACAGGATTAATAAAACATAAGAACTACATATTTGAAATATGTGCAGGTCAACCAGGTGCGTTGCTCCCTGTCTGCACCATGGGATGCTGTGCCTGTGCTTGGCTTACAGTTTTAAGTGCGTGGAGGGTAATTTCTGGAAAAGGATGCCTTCTGGACAGAGGGCTGAAATGAAGCTTGGGAATTGTCCTTGCAGTTTATCTCATCTGGCATTATGCCCTCAACAGTCAAGTTCGAGAGTTGCATTATATTCAGAGGAACCTTAAAGGGCCTCTGAATAATGCAGCATTTACAGCAGTAGCCCCAAGTAGCCATGAAGGCAGGAGAAAGGTTATGCATTTGAGGAACGTTGAGATTTCTTCTAAATATTTCTTAGTGCTGAATTTCTTCTAAGTATTTCTTCCTTTTCTCCCCTTGATAAAAGTAGTCAATTTCCTGGTCGCTGGAGGAAACATTTGGACTAATTGTGAATATGGTTTCTGGAGGTCAAGTATTTATTGATATAGACTTTCACGAGATAGTAAACTGAACCTCTAGCACTTTCTCTACTGATGCTTCACTTATGAATACTGAATGGGATGTATTTGGCCACAGGATTCCAGCTAACACGGAAGCCATTGTGAATTTACCACCCAAGAAGGTGCACCCCGAAATGCTCCTGTGACCACCTTAACAAAGACATGTTTCCTATTATTGCAGAAGCCAAAGAAAACCTGTAACTCCTTACCTTTCCGGATATATTTTACCACCCTTCTAAACTATGACAGGGCTTTTCAGGGGTACTTTTCTGAGAATCATGGCTCATTCAAGTGCTGGTTCTCTACAATGTCTTACCTGATCCTCTAGCAAGAAGTCATATTCGTATCTTCTGAATTCCTGTAAGTGTCATGGTATTTATCATTTACTACCTTGTGATATAGTTATTTATGTACGTATCTTTCTTTCCTGCAACATTGTGAGCTTCTGTGGGGCAGTTGGTCTGAAATCATTGTTATATCCATCAGTACGCTTATTATAATTAGTAGCTGTTCAATAACTACTTGTTGAGTAAATGAAATAAGTCAATTCTACCTCTGTTGGGCTGCAGTCCCACACTTGCTTTTTACAGATAAGTGTTATCTCCGTGTCTGAAAGGGCACCACCCACCCAATGCTGGTGTTGTAATCAATGTGCTGTTGCAGATCTTACATTGTATCAGTGTATTGGTTCACAAACTTGGGTGAGTTCTGAAACTGGCTCCCATAAAAGCAGGGGCAAAGGGAGTGACTGAAGAAAGAGACAGCCCACCTCCAGATTGGTAGATGGCGGTTTTAATAAGCAAGGGAACTTACATGCAAGGTTTGTCTTGGGCAAGGTGACTAAATCTCCATGCCTATCAGAGTTTATATAGAAGCCTTAATGGGTTTCAGTCATGTATACCATCCATATGGTCTCAACAACACCTTGCTCTCTCAAGGCTGTGACCTTGAAAACAGCAGTGAGAACAGTGGACGTAATGTACATTCCAAGAACAAAAGAGAGGGTGAGGAGCCTCCGATTGCCTGAGTCCAGCTCGGCTGTCAACTGGTGGGTCATGTCCTCTCCATGACCTCCTCCAACACAATGCCACTTCATCTTGCAGATCAAATTGTAAATTAACTCTGAATGATCTCACGTCGGCTGGTAGATTAAATCAGGTGCAGAGGGAATGGGTCAGCAAAGACATTAATCTAGGAAATCAAGCCATTCTCAAGCTCACATCTTATGTTCTTTCAAATAATCTCTCTCATGGAGAATTTTAAAAAGTACACAGACATCGTTTCTGGCAAGAGATGCAACTAAGCAAAATTTAAACCATCTGAAGACAAGAACTTTATTTTGTTGAGCCGTCACTGTTGCATCTCATCTCTCACAAATAGATGGGTGGCAGGGGCATTGTGGACTGTGGAGGGTGTCCTGAGAGAGTGTCAGTGGCCCACAGAATATGCTCTTTTTCAACTTGCCCTTAAATACATGGCCAGTAATACTCAATCTTGCTGAATTATTAATTGCTAAAAACTTACTTTATCCAGATTCATGAAGATCTGAGTTAGGACTAATGAGACAAATAAGAATGAAGTCTGGATAATGTGTCTTCAGCTCCTCACCAACATTTTATCACTGTATTAGGCCATCTTTGCTTAGAGCTCTAGGCCAAGGTAAGTTCTTGCCATGGTAATTCAGAGCCCTTTGGAATAGTACCAAATTGGCCAATGTATTTTATTGGCAAATTGGCAAAAATCAAGATGGAATATCTTTACAAGTTCATATACTCCTGAAAAACATTTCAGAAATGGATGATTTGCTCTGCCTTGAATGTGGTTTGTACAGTTATTTTTTTATTAATATGATTTGGTGACTAACCTCATTTCATGCCTTGAAGTACACGCAGTAAAATCTCTCAGGAATGCTGCTGCTCTGAACGGACAGCTGTACCGTTTCAGACGATGTACTGAGTTGCTTTGTAATATTGCAGCCATGTTTTGTTTTCTTCACCTGCTTCAGGTCTTGGGAGCTGATGACAATAACATGGGTGATGGCTGCTCTCAGAAGCTGGCGACTGTTACTACTCTCCGTTTCCTGTTGCTGGTCCTGATTCCGTGTATCTGTGCTCTCATTGTCCTGCTGGTGATCCTGCTCTCCTTTGTTGGTGAGTGATGCTGTTATTAAAGGAAAATGAAGTTAAAATTAAAATTTGTGTGATTTAGAAGAGTGATTTCTACTGCTATAGGTGGTGGTACGACCATTGGAGGATCTTTCCGAGTAGGAAGAAATCTGATCAGATTTGCATTTGCAAAAGACAGCAGACCTGGATAGACTGCAGGGGGTTGGGAGTGGAAAGAAATGAAGGCGAGGGAGACCAATATGGTGACTGGCTATGGTCCAAGTAAAAGATGATAAGGGCCTGGATTAAGATATTTGGGCATTAAAATCAACAGAAATCAAGACTGAATTTTGGTGTGAGGGAGAAAGAGGAGTCAAGGTAGACTCCTGGATTTCTGGCTTGAGCAACCAGGTTGACTTTGGTGCCATCTGTTAATATAGGAAGTAAAGGTGAAGAAGTGGGGTGCAGGTAGATGGAGGCAGGCTGGAAGTTCAGTTTGGACATGTTAAGTTGGAGATACTTTATGGGGCAAACAAATATAGTGGAATCATAGTTTAAGGGCGTTTATCTTGAACAAATTCAACAGTAAAGGCTGAACCAAGAAATGGAAGAACATAAGAACTCTAACACCAAACCATGGAAGTAAATTAACTTTGCTGTGCAGAGGAAGATGCCCCCAACACAATCAAACATCAGCTCTGCTTGTCCTCCCTCAAGCAACTCTGAGTAATCTTAAAAAAAAAAACTTTAAGAAATGGCTTCAAACTATATTTCTCCCTAAGTCTCCCAGATCCTCTATTAATAACATATTCTGGTCAGGTAACCTTTTAAAATGTAAGAATATAATTCATGCAGGTTTTTCTGTATTTCAAATCATTATTTCTTTCCAATCAGTTATTATAAATCATCAAATAATATTTGTAAGGTATATTTAAAAGTAAACTACTCTATTGAAAAACTAAAAAAAAAAAAAGCACTAACACCTTTCCTTCCTAAGGAATTTTAAGGGAAACTGTGAATCTGTCTGAGATTTTGGCTTCTGTGCTGACTTTAGAATTTAACTTCCACCCCACTGTTACTGGTCTGCAACTAGAACTATCCAGAAGGGAGGCTGACAGCAGCTACGAAGGCGGGAGGCTCGGTAGTAGAGGAAGCAGCAGGGGTAGATGAACCGGGGGAAGTGGACTGATGAAAAGCTGAGGGAAAGCCTGGATGGAGGCTGCTGGTATTTAGGGGAGACAAAGAGGAAGGATCAAGAGATACAGGAAGAGTCGTTCGAGAAGATGGGAAGGAACCCGGAAATGCTGGGTTTCACAGAAACCAAGGGCAGAGAGTTGCATCACAGGTCACAGGGTGACAAGTAGGAAGAGGACGGAAAGTGCCTCAGGCCATGAGGCCTGCAGGTTTTCTGCTGGAGTTTGAATCGCCCTGCACCCTGTGGGGCCAGCTGCGGCTGCTCTCGGGCCAAAGGCAGGGCAAAACCCTGAAACTCATCTCTGCCACTCTCTTCTTCCAAGACCCGGCTCCCCTCCAGACTTGGCCTGCTTTTGTTTCCTTTCCCATGCCTTCGGGGAGTTGCTTTTTTGTATTTGTCCAGACTTTGTAATTGTTATTATGTCTGGGAGGGTCCGTCTGGTAGAGGCTCATACCTCAGTGTTACCACCATTATTTTTACCAGTCGGATTCTCAGGATGCTGTGTGGTGGAACGGCTCACACACAGTGAAGAATGCTTCCTTTCATTCTCAGGTAGAGTGCTAAATCAGTCTGAAACACACTTTCAAGTACCTCAGTGCTTAGAGGGCACTGAGCAGAGGAGGGTGCTATTAAAACGGTGCTTTAACTGGATTACTTTAATTAATTTATTTATTAAATTTAAACTTTTTTAATGGCTTTATTGAAATACACTTTACAGACCATACAATTCACCCGTGTAAAGTGTGTGTTTATTTCAGTCATTTTTAGTATAATCACAGGTAAACGTAACCATCACCACAGTCATTTTTGGAATATTTTCATTGCCTCAAGAGGAAACTGTTCCCTTCTGGTGATCACCCCCATCTTTCTGTCCCCCCGCCTCGCCCCAGCCCTAAGCAATCACTAATCTACTTTCTGTCTCTCTAGATTTCCTTATTATAGACATTTCATATGACCACGTGTGGTTTTTGTGACTGACTTCTTTCACTGCGCGTAATATTTCCAGCTATGTTGTAGTATGTATCAATACCTGATACCTGAAGGCCAAATAGTACTCCATTGCATGGATTTACCACATTAAAAAATTCCATTTATCAATTGGACATTTTAGTTGTTTCTGTCTTCTGGCTTTTTGAATAATGGTGCTCTGAACTTTCATGTGCAAGTTTTTGTGTGGAAATATGTTTCCATTTCTCTTGGGTTTATACGTAGGAGCAGAATTTTTTTTTAATCACTTTTGTGTGAATTAGGAAGTGTCCCAATTTGTAACCTTCTCTAAGTGCTATTTTGACTTATATGTAGGTGACCTTTAGAAAGTGGGATTTTCCCAACAGTCTTCAAAAACATTCTTTTCATAGATTCTGTACCAGGTGATTTGATATAGATACATTAAATAATATCTGCCCAAATGAACATTTCCTGTTTTATATAACAGATGTTTGTTGCTGTGATGAGCAATAAAATCATTTTATATCTTTGTTTTAAAAAACCACATTAAATTCTGCTTTGTTTTAAAAAAATGTTCTGTTTGGTTTGAGTTGGTAACTCCGTGCTCTTTCAAAGTCTTGTGGTTATTTCTGGGTCTGTAAGGGTTGCTAGGGATGCTGGAATGCCACATGTGTACATGTAACAGGAGCTCTGGCTTCAAAGGACAAAGAGGTGATAGTGAGGGGATTATTGGTTAGGAAAAGCTAATAGAAGCCTTATGCTAACAAACAAGATGCACTCTGTGTCTTTAATTTTGTCTGTTGGGGCTTCTCTCGTGCCTAAAGTGAAGAGGGCAAAAAGATTTCTAAAGATAAGAGAGTTGGACTTTCTGAGGAATTATTTCAGCAGCAGGCTGTAGAGGAAAGCAGTAGCAAATTGTTCCTCTCCTCAATCCCTTCAACTGAAGCTGGAGCTACAAAGGTTTAGTTTAATTTAGTGTAGTATTTCTAAAATCAGCAGATAGTCTGGTTCCAAAGATTGGTGTTTTTGAAAGAAATTGAAAGGAAAACTGAAGAGTGGGAAAAGTACAATATTATACTCAGGTTTTTATTTCTTCCGATACAGTCTAATACTGAAAGGCCATATGACATAGAAGAAAACGTATAGCTGGACACTCGGAGGTCTGGGTTTGGCATCTTACTCTTCCATTTACTAGATGTGTGACTTCCGGTCAGATGTTTTACCTTCTCTGTGGGATAGGTACATGATTCTTATTCACATCACAGAATTATTATGGAAGTCAAATGAGATAATATCTATGAAAGTGATTTTATAAAGTGACAAAGTTCATAATGAAAGTTGTTTTTGCTTATGAACATAACTGTTAATATTAGATAGTGATTTAGTAAATAGCTCTAGTTCACTCAAAAATTGACCAAAAATGTGCTTATCTCCTTTTAACTCTATCCATAAGAACTGAAATCTGTGTGCTATGACCTGCTGGCATAATAAACCCATAATCCATAAACCCATAACCCTATGACCAAGCCATTGCCATAGCATAGTTTAATTGCCAGTAAAGTAGCTAGGAAGGAATAAAGTTGACCAACTGCTACACCTGCAATGTGATGGTGTTTCACCTGACTTCTATGCTCAGGCCTGAGCGTTGCATTCATAGACTCATTCCTCTCTTACAAGAACTGGACTGGCAGCTAGTTACACAGCCATCACGAGCAGAAGAGTCAGCTTGTGCCATGGAATACTTTATCAGAGATTAGATGACACCTGCCTTAAATTATATGTCAATACATAAATAATACAGAAACATATATATGCAACATTTACAGTAAAATTGTGTTGATATGTTGAGCCCATTTAACAGACACAAAATTGTAGATATAATTTGATACTGTTTATTCCTTTAACGAACATTTACTGAGTGCCTGTTAAGTTCAAGGCTATATCCCATAAGCATTGGGTACAGCCCTGAATCTAGCCTACCCTTTTGGGTTTCCTAGTTCAGTGAGGGAGAGGGGCTTGAAAATGATCACACAATTGATTAATTACCACGAAGTTAGCTCCTATATGGGAAGAGACAGTTTCTTTGGGAACTGATGACAGGATCTGAACCTGGTCTGAAGTAAGATGGGAAAAGCCTTCCCTGAGGTGGGTGTGACACTTTAAACATGAACTTCATCATAAGGATGATGGAGTAGGGGATGACTGATGGAACTTCACCATGAGGATGGTGGAGTCGGGGATGACTGGAGTAGGGGATGATAGAGTAGGTGTGATTGATCCGGTTAGGGCTGTGAAAAGTTGCTTTGCCAGCTATGTGGAGAAAGGGTAGAATATGTGGCAGGGAGAAGAAATGGGGAGTTATTGCAAGTGCTCTACAAATGTGGTACTTTGGAGTATGGTCTGAACTGATTTTTGCAGACTTAAGACTTGGTTTCAAAGACTTGTCCACTCATCCACATTTAGAATAAATTTTCTTTGTTTTAGCTTTAAGCTTATGAAGAATGGCCTAAGGTTACTTTCCTAGTTTTCTTAATACTGTGAAAAGTCTACATGGGGCTTATTAATTTTTAAATTTCTGTCATGCAATGAAGAAGGGAATTAGTATGGTCAGAAGTGTAGGAAATATGGTACATAGTCCATTTTCCTTGAACTCAAGAGAAATTTTCCTCTATAAAAGTGATTTTCTTCTTCAGAAATGCTAAAGGAGCTGAAGATTATTGAACTTAACTGTAGTTTTTCTCTTAGCAAATTTCTTAGCAGCTTGGGGCTTTTACAAGAATTTGGAATGATAAGAATCTTAACTTCCTAACTTACAATGTTGTATTTTGAATACTATTATAAAACGGAAAACCTTCCAGATCCTTATTTCCTTACAGCAGAACTTTCAGATTTTCTATGATCT